TTTGAGCGGTCAGAAATAGCTATGTTAATTAGCATACAGTAAATCATGGTTGTCTAAACTGAAAAAATGTCATCAGCAATAAGAGGTAGTACGTATATAAATTTTCTGTATAAAAAAAAAGAATAATATAATATTGACTGCCATGCAATGAAACTGAAATAACATTTTTTGGAATGTATAGTATGTATGGTGGATAAAAATACGAACATAAATAATATCAAAACTGATATGTCAATAAGTACAACCAATGTACAAAGAACAAACATATAATATGCACATGTGTGAGTGTATAATATACACACTCAAATATATACATGACAAAGAATAAGAATATGTTATTAAGTGAAAAAATGCAAAACTTTTTGAATATGCAACTAATTTTAAGAAGAGTAAATGATCTCTTGTTAAAATCTGTGAATCTTAGTTTTTGGTGCTAGAAATTCCCACAATTTGACACTCGAAGGAGTTTGAGGAAATAAGAATCCTGCAGCTAAAGAACCCTAGTGAAATTTTGAGTGCATAGCAATTTTGTGTTTTGTAAAAAAGTTATGTTTCGCAACTTACACTAGACTGAGCAAAATGAAAGATTGTCTGGCCGAATAATAATAATAAACATATCTCATGGTGCATCACTATCATACGATGAAATCCGAGTTCCACAGATAGAATCAATTTGTCATTAATTTAAAAATAATGAAATAGGATGAAAAAAATTTTTTTTTTCAAAAAAAGAAAAATTTGCTATTTTTGGACGATGAAGATGCACACATGGTATTTATAAAGTTTGAAACACAAGATGGTGGTTTTAGCGCTGTCTTAAAACAGACCAGCTGTTTAGACGGCTATATACAATTTTATACAGTATATACAATAACTAGAAAACTGAATAAATACTAAAAGTTGTACTGTCTTCTGTATTTTTTTGAAAATCTTCGCTGACATATGAAGCAATTTTGGTTATGAACCAAATTCAGTAGTAGCGGTTTGTATGCATTCAAGATTGAAGAGTTGTGTGCCGGACCCTGGTCAAATGTTGTCGATCTTAGAATGGTCACATAACATGAAAGTTCTGAAACTATGCTAAATTATTTTTTGTGATTAGAAAACAACTTTAGGGACCTGAACTAGTTTTTGAATGATTAACTTCAGATGTATGCATTTTGCCTATTTCCCAATCAAAATGGTCACCAATGTACCGGTAGGTTTAATTGCTATGGGGGAAAAAAAATCAATGTTTCCATGGAAACAAGTTTATGTACCCAGATTTAAATTTGCTCTTTATCATTTATTTGATGGAACATTTCACTCATCAAAATGTCAAAAATTTGTAGTGCGTTTACAAATTCAATATTTTCTACTACTGGAGTATAGTTAAGTGAGATTATAAAGCGTCCTCATAGGGCATATGTTAAGAACATCCAATTAAATATTGACGACAATACAACTGATAAAAAAGTAGTTAGCAATGATTATGCATCAAATCATAATTTTAGTTCAATCAAAGCATATATAAGGCTGAATTTGATTTGTCAAAAAAACCTGTCAACAAACAAGCTACTTTCTGATTGGTCTGACTGTTAGAGTTGGCTAGCCAATCAGGCACAATTTACACAAAGCTTTGCATTGACTCCATAATTTTGTAGTAAGGTCATTCAACAAACAAAAAATGATTCTGGTCAAACTGTTTTTCACAAATGTTATTCCAGGGTAAACACATTTTTTTGGTAACATATTTTTGTCAGGCCTAAATTACTTATTCCTTGGTAATTAGGAAAGTTTAGACAAATTATCACTATTCCACAGTTACCACAACAGTCAATATTTCCAATAATGACTTTGACGTTAAGATGTCATAATTTTTTCTGCCGAAGTGTTGGTGTAATATTTTGCACATCGTTTATTGTTATTTTGAACCAAATAGACAGAAATTGTTAAAAACTCCCTAAAAAAATTTATTTGGATTTATTTTGTGAAAGGTGCCAAAGTTGATCTTGATCTCAAAGGGTTATCAAAGGTATGATAATACCCATGTACTACAATATTTCTCAACACAAATAAAGTAAAAAAAAAAATTGTGTTTCACTGCCCACCCTCCAAAATGGTGATGTATGGTAAATCTCAGACTAGTAATACAACAGACTTGCAACGCCTATTGTTTAAGGTGTTAATCGGCTTAATTGTATATGCTACATGTGCCACGCTCT